ATAGATAAAAATTAGATATCAACTATACTTTATGTCTACATAATGTTTCAAAGTTTACAAAGAGCTTTCACATATATTATCTCATGTGATCCTCACAATGACCCTATGAAGTAGAGTTCCATTTCACAGATAAAGAAATGAGATTTGGTGAGATGAAGGGTTCAACTGAAAATGTTAGGAATGACTAGGACTTTGTCTTTTAACTGTGAGTCCAGGATAATACATGTCAAATTTATACTTCAGAGTCTAGGTAAAAAGTTTTCATATCTTTAATCAACTATTCAGTCACATGTTAATTGAGCATCCGTAATATACCAGGGTATACTGTAGTAAATGAGGCAGTGCAGTGCCTCGTGGCACTTACATTGCAGGGTGAAATGGATCACAAATAAGCTGACTTTATCTAGCAGTGCTATGAAGATGGGGTGCTTGCTGCACAGTGATCAGGGAAGGCCTCTCTGGGGCAAAGTCATGAGTGCTGAGAGCTGAATGAATTCTACTGAGTTATTCCTCCTTCCAGTTGCCTGAGCATACTGACTTCTTTGCTCCTCAGCAACAATGTAAATGGCCTACCGCTAGCCCACCCAGAAAACCCTCATAGCCTTGAAATCTCCCTTTCCAACTCCTCAATAATGAGCTTACCAGGTCTAAAATGTGAAGGAAACCAGAAAATCTAATGAGAAAACACTGAAGCTGTAGCTCGAATGATTTAAATGTAACTAAGGAAACTCTTTCAGACTCCTCTGACCAGGAAATCATGGATTCTCTTTGGCAGTAATATCTATTTTCACCTGACCAGGGCATCCCTCCAAGGACTTTGTGTGGTCTTTCCAGGGGCAGCAGTGTTGAACAAACCAGGGTCTGTTCCAGCTCTAATCTTTGAAGCCGTGATGAAACCAAGCTCATTTCTGGCTCTTGATCAGAAAGGAATGTAAAGGGAACAGCATTCCCACTCCTTTGGAAAACTGCCCCTGTCGTCCTAGTAGTTAGGAAGCCATGTAATCTGTCCACGTCCAAACCACTGACTCCTCTGGGATATTATCAAATTAAATTAAGACTCTTCAATCAGAAAGCCTAACACTATTGATTAAAAAGCAGACACCAAAATCAGAACTGCCCAGCCCTGGAGCTAGACAGATTTACATTCTTCCTGAATCTTGAGCCAGTACATACTTGGTACCCCTACGAACTCAGGACTTAGACAATAAGCAGAGCTGTCTACCCTTTTCCTGGAAGATTTCTGCATCAGCCTCAGGAGGGCTGGTCCTGCTTCTAAGCTCTACTACCTGAGCTCTTGTTGTGGCCTGGTGTCCCCCATCTTTATAAAGAACAATTAATGCTACATGCCAGGCACCCCAGAGCACAGAACTGGGCACACTAAAGGTACTCATTACCCAATTGAAAGAATTAATGATATATTTCATATTTTCACAGTCTCTGAAGGTTTGGCCCTCTTTGCATTGAGGCAAATATCATTGGAAGCAATTGAAAATGACTTGCTGGTCCAAAAAATTTAACATCGAGTCTTCTTCTTGACTGACTATAGAGTTCCTATATTTCCTTTGAAGGCCTGGCTCAATGTCATCTATTTGGTGACACCTTCCCTGAGTCCCCAGGCAGAGTCACTCTGTTCCCAAGGCACTTCATTCATATAAAGCACTTATCACATGGCACTATAACATGTATATGTGTACATTTGTTTCCTCAAGACTGTGAGTGCCTTGAGAAGAAGACCATGCTTTCTTATCTCAGCCTCCCCTGTGCTTTGCCCAGTGACTGGTTGGGGCAAGAAAGTTAGGAAGTATTTGTTAAATGAATAATTCAGTGATGGATGAATGAACTATTTAAGCAGAACAGAGCCTTCCCTCACTTTGAAATCTCCATGGCAGTGGGTTATAGGTTGGAGAACAGTGATGAGAATCTTGGCCTTGTTAAATTGGTATGATGATCTCAATATTCAATAAGCAGTTACCACACAAAGCCATGTTTTCTCTGAGAAGCTGTCTCAATCCCATCACCACTGGGAGCTGCAGAATGAAAAGGAAATGCTAACAGAAAAATAGCCATTTGTGGAGCCTGGACCAAAGATGGAGATGAAATGCAATGAGATGGATAAAGCCATGAAGGAAATAGGAACACTTAACTTTTCAGATCAACCTAGAAGATAATGGGAGTGAGAGATAAAATAGCCAGAGTGGTCACTTCCAAAGCCAAAGTCATCTAAAACTACGGTGGGCAGGGTTTAGGTTATAACAACTTATTCCCACAGGAAGACTCCAGAAATGGGAGAGCATGGAAGACAGATAATAGAATTTCCTTTTCTGTAGTTCCTAAAAGAGGCTACCACTTTTCCCATACCACCACCCCTCATCAACCCAGGTTAAGTGGCTATGGGATGGTCCTGCCTGGAAGCAAAGAGAAAGAGGCTGAGATCTCCATCAGCCAGAGGATTATGGAATATCCTTAGATTCTGTTGCCAAGATACTGGGCAGCCCACCAGGGCTGGTGTGGAGGCTTCTCTGAGGCCCTATTTGAGGCACAGCAGTGTCAGCAGTTAAAGCTCACTCCTTCCTGACACCAGTAGAAGCAAGTGTAACTGGACAGGCCCAGTCTCACTTGGTGTGAGGCAAAGCCAGGTGCAGGAGGCAACTGAACTAAACAGTGTCATGGGGGTGGGAGGAGGAAAAGATGGTTGTGACACAAAAGAAATAAATACTTACTCTGACAAAAGAAAATCAAAGCCTCAAATGATCCGTAGGGAGGAAAGATGAGCGAGAGGGAAATGAAATAGAAAACACCAACAAATTGGAAATCAGGCACAGAAATGGAGGAAAGGAACTGAAATACTCTCAAGCAGGGAGGCAGCTCCCCAAAAGGCTGGCTGGTCTTTCTGGAAAGGACTTGAGGTCCAGCACTTCTGAAACACATTTCCTTAGAGTTAAGAGAAACTCACTGTTTTGCTGCTGCTTCAGCAAAGCTGGGCTCAAGCAGAGGCATCTTCTGGCTTGGAATTCTTTCTGTTGTCTTATGAGAAAGACATCTTAGCAGACCTGTTTACCTAAAAAGACTGGTTGACTTTCCTTGTAAGGCGAAGGGCCACCTGGATATCTTTAAAAACATTTCTTATCTTGACTTCAGTGAAAGTGCTGGTGGCCAGACACCTCTGTACGCATGAACAAGGAAGCAGGAGTGGGCTCCACTAAGTTCCACTTCTTAATGACCCACTGTCATTTGAGATTCTCCTGCAGCTTCAGCAATGTCTCCATTTGAAAGAGAAAAAGAACATTCTTTCTAAAACAATGTTTCATAGGCATTGGCTCCTCTCAAAAAGCTCTTTTTACAGGTTCCAGGGGTCACCTGTAAAATTCTCTATCTCTCACCTGTTCTCTAATCTCCTGTTACCCACCAGGATAGCCTTCTGGCTCTCTCTGGCTTTCCACCCCCCTCATGTGACTAAACCTCTGGCTTCCACTCCTCACCTTCTTCCTCTTGTTCTCAGCTTCCTCATGCACATTGACCTGCTTCCTCCAGATACCTTGGCACAAGGCTACCTAGGAGGTTCCTCCACCATTTGTACTTCCTTCACTGCACCCTCTGGGGTCCTTTGTGAATGTCATTAAGTCTCTTTCTCCTATTTTTTTGAGACTGCCTTAATCCAAGAGTCTCATGGAGCTGGCTGTGGTCTCTGAACCCCTCTCTAAGCTTGGGGTTCTAGGCATAGTGAGTGCTCTACCAGCTGACTGACTGGCTCCAGGAAGTATGAAAGCCACCAGCTAGACGAGGTTTGTGAGGACAAATTACTTTGCAGGCAGTAGTTATGATGTCTCTTTTATAAACCAACATACTGGACTCAGAGTTATCCATGTTGCCTACTAAGTTCCCCAGAGGGAAGGAGTCTGAATTGAGCTGGATGTCAAATGTTCATTTCCAATCAAAGGGACTTAAACCTATTCATGAGAGGGGCAGTTTAAGTAAATAGACCTGTTCTTCTGGACAAGAGAAGCCTCGGGTTTATATGATAGCCACATTCCTGTGCGAGCCAGGCTGTCATAGACCAGAGATTAGCCACTATCTTTGTGTTCTGTGGAGGTAGAATGAGAGCTGGTGGGTATCTACTTCATGTGGACAGACTTCAGAAAAGCCATAGAACTATCCAGGCATCCCCTGAGCCTTAGGATACACTGAGCCCCTGTTGCTGAAAGGATATAAGTGGAGTGATGACCAACTTGTGGAGAGATTTAAGCATGAAATGGGGGGAGAGGAAGGCAGTAGAGAGGAAGGAGATGAGAAGGGACTAGATGATTTTTAAAGTCTCTCCAGTCCTGGGGAATTATTGCTATAGAAGGATAGTGGCTTCAAACAGCAAGGTATTTCAAAGGCCTCTAGGAACAATTGTCCTAATCATGGCATCATAAAGTCTGGAGCGAACACCAGAGGTTATTTTCTACAACTTCCCTATCCCTTGGTAGCCCCGTCCAGCAGTGAGTTTATCACCTGCACAGGAATTTCCACTGGAGCTAGCTGGAATTTCTCCAAAGCTATAGCCAGAGGAGGTGGAGGATTCTGTGGTAGAAGGAGGAGAGGAGAGGAGCTGGGCATCAAGCTGGGGAAATCTTGCTAAGGGCCCTGCCATCACCTGTGGATTGATAACAGTGTGCAGATGGACTCTCCATGCTGAAGGAAGAAATTTCAAGGGAGCTCATCTCAGTTGGAAGCAGTGAAACAAATCTTGTTTCATTGCTGAGCTGCCTCCCCAGCTGCTGAAAAGGGAGGGGTTTGCAGACAGATTGAACCTGTGGAGGGATAAAGGTCGCTCAGAGACAAATACACACACTCACAGGGTTTCCTGAGCTTAAGCTCTTTGGAAGCTCCTGACATATGCACCTCAAGCAAAGAGAGAGGAGGCAAGCAGAAAGTGGCAGCTGCTTGTGGAAGTTGGGCATATTTTTCAATGCTGGCACTGCTCTATTAAATTCTCCTCCTTCATTATAGAAGCTTCCATTCAAAGTAATTGGGGGATGGCATGATTCATGATCTCAGTGCCTTCACTCCCCAAGGAGCAAGATGCTAGTGGCCTGGCTATAGGGTGGTTGGTGAGATCTGCCTGTCAATGGGGACATTACCAGGCTCCCATGGGCCTGCCTTGTGCTGACTAATGTGGGCCAGTGCCTCTGTGACACCAGCCCTCTGAGCCTTGGAAGCATCTGGTGGGCTTTTCACTTTCTGTAGAGGTGGTTGTTGTCCTACAGGCACAATCATAGGATCTGGGAGTGGGCCTAGGCCAAATTGTCCTCCTGATGGATTAACTAGGCTGTGATGCCATTATAGGAGAGTCTGTGATGTTGGTTATCTCCTACAGGTTAATCCTTCAAACTCTGCTCTGCTGTCATCCCTTTGGCCTTCCACTCTATCCCACCAGTCTAGATTAGATGCCACCTCTGGGTCTTTATCTCCATTTCTGATTATCACATTGTGCAGTCTATGCCTGTTTATTTTTCTGACTCACCCAGTAGATTCTGAGATCCTTGAAAGTCCTCTCCAGGGTATGTTAAACTGAGTGAGTCTGCACCTGAGATTACAAATTGCTCAAGAGCAGGACAGGCCTGAGATGAGTGGAGCAAGTAAAGTGCCCACTCAGAGGCTCCTGCAAGCCTGAGTTGATACCTGAGAATGAATGCCGCCTGAAAATTCCTTAAATTGCCAGGCTGGGATCACTCTGCTTCTGACCCTGTGGCACAGAAAAGGAAAGAATATTAATTGTTGAAAACCAACCATATAGAAGAACTACATTATTTTATTTACTCCTGAATGCAATCCTATAAAATAGGTTGTTACACCCTCACAGTAAACATGAAGAAACTGAGAGTTGGTACAGTTTTGTACCTTGCTGTTGGTCCCCAAATAAATATTATAGAGGCAGAACTCAAACTCCAAGTCTTCCAAATGCAGAAATCCTTAATCTATGCACTGCCTCCAACAACAGCATGCAGCTGCCATCCCATGTCAGTGAGAGGAGCCTGAAGGGGAGTTCTCTGGGGCTTTAGAAGTCCATGCTAACCCTGAGGAGACAGAGACCTCACAGTTCTGGATATGAAGAGGGCAGGTGTTGCTCTGGCCAGTGCCTCCAAATCCTGACTCAGTAGGTTTGCCTGGGGCCTGGGGATCTCTGTTTACCAAGCTCTCCAGGGGATTCTAATGCATCGCTAAGAGGCTTACTGCAAGCACTTCCTAATGCTCCCTTCAAGAACCTGGCAGTATTTCACTTCTTTGGATCTGGAAGTCCTTTCTTGAGTCTATCGTAATGGACAGGCCTTGTGATGCAAGCCCCTCCCTTCTAACCCAGGCCTCCATGAAAACATTCTTCAAAGGCTTCCTGCCCAGGGCTGTATAGGCTGCCAAATTGTGCTGTCGCTCAGGTGGGACCCCAGTGAGAGCAGTTTGTTTGCCTGTTGCTGAAGGAAGGGTCTGGCCCTTTGGGGAACTCTGTACACACTCAGAGACTGTTGAGTGGCAAGCAAGAATGGAGGACTTTGTAAGCACCCGTCTTAGGCTTAGATGATTCTATATTCCTCTACCCCTCTGGTTCCTGCCTTTACTTCTGTACTCCCTTTCCACCAGGCCTTGCCACTAAATGGGACCAGACAGGAAATAATAAGATGCACAGAGGACACCACCGAGGGAAGCAAGTGCCTAGGTCAGCTTGAGTGGGCCTTTGCATCCCTATAAGCAGAGCCTCTGCAGTGGCAGAGCCCATGGCTGTCAGGGCAGCCAGCCATGCTCCAAGTTTCCACAGTGGAGAAAAAAAGATCTAGTGTTTGGGATGGATTCCAGGGTGGTGAGATCAGCAGGTGGCCCAGCTTAGAGCCAACCTGTCTACCCTAATGGAGAAACTAGAGACCCACCCAGGAAATAGAGCTCAGGAGAGGATTTTCTGGCCTTGCCCAGTTGCCACCGCCCTCATTACCTCTCCACTGACCTAAGTCCTCAGGTAGCAGTACTCAACTGACCTCCCTGCCCCGCATCACCACCACCCAGATGCCTCTAGCCCAGACTACACAGCATCACATATCTACCTTCCCAAGCACAGCTCAAACCAGACACTTTTCCTACCTATTTTCATACACCTGTTGAATTGAGGACAAGCCC